CATTCCATGTACCAACAGATAAATATGTTAACAGGAAAGATGACTCGTAACAGCACTGGATGTTTGAAATTAAAAGATGATGACTTATTAATGGGACATAGTAATATAATTAACAGATGGACAGAGTATATAGGGAAATTGTATGTTGATATTAGACCAGACGTAGATCTGCAGACCAAAAATGATGGTCCACCAATAATGACTGCAGAAGTAGAGGATGCAGTACATCTCACTGGAAGAAATCGAAGCACTGGGAAATTTTGGAATTGAAATAATAAATACACTTTTAAATGATATTTATAATAGTGGGAATATTCCAAATGACCTTTTAAAATCCATATATATAGCTCTGCCAAAGAAACCAGGCACTATAAAATGTGAAGACCATCGCACAATAAGTCTTAAGAGTCACATGACAAAGATTTTACTGAGAATAATTATGAGAAGAATAAGAAACAAAATTAAACCAGAAATCAGCGATTTGTGGATTTGTAGGAGGAAAAGGCACAAACAATGCCATATACATCCTAAGAACATTGTCAGAAAGAGCTATAGAAGTAAAGACTGATTTGTACATATGCTTCATAGACTATACAAAAGCATTAGACTGTGTGAAGCATGAAGAAGTAATCAAACTGTTGGAAAAATTGAACATTGATGGGAAACATCTACGAAAAATAAAGAATATGTATTGGCAGCAAACAGCAGCTATAAGAATTAACAACTGTTTAGGTACATTTCAAAGCATAAAGAGAGGCGTACGACAAGGGTGTGTACTGTCACCTGATTTGTTTTCAATATACAGTGAATATATAATGGGATCTTTAATTCATATGCCCGGAATTGTGGGTGGTGGGCACAGTATAAACAAAATTGTGGAAGAATAGGCCCAGTTTGAATTATGGGAAGACAGAAGTAATGGTGTTATCAAAGAAACAAATTATTCCTAAATGTGTAATAAAAGTCAATTGTGTTATTTTAGGACAAGTACAGAAATTTAAGTATCTGGGCACATGGATAACATCAGATGGAAGATGTTTAACTGAAATAAGAAACAGAATTGGACAGGCAAAAACTACATTTTACAAAATGAAAAACATCTTGTGCAATATATCCTTGTCATTGAGAGTTAGAAAAAGAATTCTTGCTTGCTACATTTATCCAGTTTTAACATATCGCTGTGAATCCTGGACAATCGGTAGGCAGGCCAAACAATTTTTAGAGGCCTCAGAGATATGGTTTTACAGAAGAATGCTTAGAATACCTTGGACAGCCAAAAAGAGCAACCAAGAGGTTTTAAAAGAGGCGGGAGCCCGAAGACAACTTATCACATACATCAGAAGGAGACAGTCATCATTTTTCGGCCGTGTTATGAGAAGAGAGAAAATAGAACATGTTGTGAGCACTGGAAAGATCTGTGGAAGGAGGTATAGAGGAAGACAACGAGAGAAAATGCTTGACAGTCTTGTTGCATGGCATGGAGGTGTGTCGGCACACGAACTGATACATGCTGCAGGAGATCGCAGATTATGGATAGGCATGATCGCCCACGCCAGTCGTCAAGGCACCTGATGATGATGATGTATGTAGATGCGTGTATGTATGTATTACTTATGTCTGTATATGAGTGTGCATGTATGAGAATGTAAGAGTATGTTTACGCGTGTGTGTGTTTGAGTGTATAAGATTGTGTACACATGTGTGTCTACATTATTCCATAATGTATATTTCTTTATTACATCCATAACATGCATTATTGATAACAGGCATTGGTACTCTGAAAAATTGTATTTGTAGCTCAACATCACAGCGAGCATCTGTTTTTCTGTGCAAGTCGCTGCCGTTCTTACTTACCAGAACAAAATCGTCTGCGAAAACGAGACACCCCATCAGTAAAAACGAGACACCCCATCAGTAAAAACGAGACACCCCATCAGTAAAAACGAGACACCCCATCAGTAAAAACGAGACACCCCATCAGTAAAAACGAGACACCCTATCAGTAAAAACGAGACACCCTATCAGCAAAAACGAGACACCCTATCAGTAAAAACAAGACACCCTATCAGTAAACACGTGACACCCTATCAGTAAAAACGAGACACCTATCTGTAAAAACGAGACACCTTATCTGTAAAAACGAGACACCCTATCTGTAAAAACGAGACACCCTACTGTGAGTGCCCACCTAGTCAATGCTGATATATCCGGCAAATTAAAACCCAATCAAAAGCTATACTAGTTAGTTTAGACAGTGGTACCGAGAGCTGACCGTTTAGAAACAATGGCCAAATTTGCCTAGAAAAACCACAACTGCCAGAAAATGCTGTGGTTGGTTCTGCAACGTCCGGCAAAGGATAAGTGACTAACTTAATGTATTACTTCTGGCAGTTATGAAAGAAAAGTCTGTCCACTGCAAAAGCATCATCATCAGTCAGCATGTTCCTTAAGAAAACGTCGCTTTCGCCACGGCAGGTCTGAAAGTCTCTTTTTTTTTTTTTTTTTGTAGCCGATTCTTTAGACCTACGTGCTTTCTTTCAAAGCTAATGTATTTTCAAAGTCTTCTATTTGCCTTCGCGGAGATTGGCATTTGCTTCGTTTTCCGGAAAGGATACCCTCCATCATCATTTTCTTCAGGCCACTACAAGGTTCAGCATGACCAAGACACCCCAACTTTTGGGACAGGTTGTTGTTCGATTTGATTTAATTTGATTCAAGAACCGACATCACAGCAAACTTGGCATTCCCATAAGCGTTACGTCCCTATCTTCAGCAGCCAGCAAAGAGTTCTGATACTAATGGTGCCGGTAGCATTCTGGTTAAACGTCCGTCTTGCATTTCCTCTGAGCCCCTGCATAGGTTGTTGTTTATGAATCACTTCTCCTCGATGGTCTGATTATATAGAGTGTCGATGCTTTTCTCCTCCATTGTCCAGGGTACTCCAAGAATGTTTCTACACCATTTAACTTCAAAAGACCGATTTGTTTCCTCGGTGATTAAGTGTCCATGACTCAAATCCATATGTTGCTCCGGAAAGAATAGATTATCTCAAAATGTAAAGCTCTTGCAGGTACTGTTTCATATTGTTCTTCCTGTTGTTTTATCTGGGTAGAACTAAAGCAAGTTTTCTTCACCAGACTTTTTTTTTTGAACAGCTACCATCGACTACCTGGCCTATATACGTCATCTACTGTTGCCTCTACATGCCTGTTGATAATGTGCTCTAATCCTCTCAGATTTCTAATAAAATCACATGAAGTGTGCCGGCTAGCATTGTATTTTTCTTGCCTCTGTCAGAAAAAAAAACCTTCAGAAACGAACCGAGGATACGAATCTAGGTCTCCTGCATGAGAGCCCCAGACGCTTATCAAGTGCCCCAGTATAACTGTGCTAAATGTCTATACTGTAAATTTGTAACTGTTTACTTCTCATCCTTGAGACCTTAATGTTGCAGAAGGCAATCCTGGTGGGATAACACTTTAAAAACCTGCAGTCAGTAAATGTGTCTTTTCTTTGACTAAGGCACACGGTGTAGTTCTAAAGTGGTAAAGACAAATGGAGAGTTGAATAGTTATGTGATCGAAATTAAGTCAGCCGCTCGTTTTAACTTCCCAGAAGATGTTTTCATGTATAACAGTGGCTCTCAAACTTCTTTATGCTGCAGCCCTTTAATACAGTTCCTCATTTTGTACTGACCCCAATCACACAATTACATTCGTTGCTACTTCATAACTTCAGTAAAGATGTGTTTTCCGATGGCTTAGGCGACCCCTGTGAAAAGGTCGTTCGACCCCCAAATGAGTCGCGACTCAGAGGTTGAGAACCGCTGATGTATAGCATGAAGGCCTGGTCGGTTTTAACAACAAACAAACAAACAACGCATCTTGCGGAAATCGATCACAACGGGCAAGCCAATATTTTTTATACCCACAATGTTTCTTGTTTAGATTCTTATCTGGATAAGGAAAAATTTTTTTTAAGAAGAACCATTTCTTGGGTCCCAAAAGAGTTTTCTTTATCAGGTCTGCGCCGTATATTAGAAACCACCCGATTATGTTTTCTGCATACTGGCAAACACGCACACTTTACATTATGCTAGATGTCTATAATATTAGTCTCTAAAGATATTCTAAACACATACGGCTGTTTACGTTCCTACAATGTAAGGCACTTTTATAGATATAGATAACCGCTCGGTGAAATTTGTAAAGTGAGTCATCCGTGAATCAACTATTGATCACTACTTCATTAGCTTTCTCATACAACATTATCGACGAGTTACGTAATGACTAGTTTGTGTCTGCAATTTAATGTCCTGGCACTTCGTCGTCTTCTTAGCGTTCTGCCAAATTACTGACAGTTACTGCCTTTATTATACCACGTTTGCGGTGTTGGCATACGGATCTTGGAGCCTGAGGAGTTAGGATCGTATGGCTAGTGCTGTCGCCACGGACTGTGCAGGTGATAATTTTATTTTGCCACCGACAGAAAACAATTCACAACCTTACCGAGGATTCGAACCCTGGTCTCCCGCATGAGAACCCAGCGTGCTAACTGTTCAGCCAGCCGCTCATCTTAGCGTTCACTGGCTGTAAACTCCGACATAAAGTTCTGGTTTTTCGTCCACTCTTGGACTTTAGCCTTGATCTAGAACCTGGGTTTCGCATGCATATCCTGTTTACAGATCTGGCTTATTTGTATTCGGGTCTTTGCCTCTTGGGCAGATGTAATCCGACTATGAATGAAATATCTGTAATTAGTCGCTTCTTACGACATGTTTGTTCGGGGGAAAAAGGGAGGGGGGAATTGGCCGATTCTTTTTTCTTCAAAATGTTCCCCGAAACCCAAGCGATCAGTGACATTGATATATTGGGAGATATAAAGACATATATGTATAGATAATTATAATATATATTATGTTCAAATGCTTTATATCATTAACTAGAGATTATTGGAATTAATATGAATATTTTATAATGTTGCAGGCGGCAGAGAAAGATATGTTGCTGACATGGTTTGTTAAAGTTCTCATTCTTGGAGTAATTCTCAGTTCTGACACGTGTAGTGGGGCAGGTATGTGTAATACATGTACCCGTTTTACTAAAGCATTAGAGTTGTGCGTGATATATGTGTGTGTGTGTGTGTGTGTGTGTGTGTGTCTATATATATATATATATATATATATATATATATATATATATATATATTTTATATATATATATATGAGTGTCTGTTGTGTAAAAAAATGTCAAAAATGACCAGACTTGGCAGTTATGATCCGCTCAAAATTGGTGGCAACCCTATTCCGGAACTCCGCTACGCAGATGACACAGTCCTCCTTTCGAACAGCGTAAAGAGAATAGAAAATTTAATATTTTCTGTCCAAAAGCACAGTGAGAATCAAAATCTGTTCTTGATTTTAAAGAAAACAAAAATAATGTCCACAGATAAAACTGGTTGTCACCCGAAAATAACATAAATGATGAAGAAATTAAAAATGTCACAAACTCTGAATATCTAAGCTCTGTAATAAATAACAATGGAGACTGTTCGACAGAAATTAAAAGGAGGATGGCCACAGCAATGCAAAGATTAAACAGCCTTAAAAGTCTGTGGTTAAGCACCAGCAAGGAGATAAAAATTATAATTTTGAGAGCATGCATCTTCCCTGTAGCTACATACGGATGTGAGTCGTGGACTATCTCTCAGTCCTTAAGAAGGAGAATAGGGGCTTTTGAGCTGAAATGCTATAGAAAGATTTTCAGAATATCTTGGACAAAGAAGATGAGAAATATTGACATCTTAAAAGATCTGAACATCAAGGAAGATTGTCTAATAAACAGCATCCTTTCTCGAAAGCTGAAATATTTTGGTCATATCAAGCGCCACGACGGATTGGAAAAAATTATAGCAGAAGGCAGGGTACCAGGAAGGAGGGGCAGGAGCCGACCGACACAAAGATGGGCACAGGATATAAGTGAGTCCTTGAGTGTGAAAGTGCATGAGGCGGGAGAACTGGCGAGAGACTGAGTTTCTTTCACGCAGACTGTGATGAGAGCGACGTTCTGCCAAGGACCTGCTTCATGATGATGATGATGATGTCTGTGTGTGAGTGTGTGTGTGTGTGTGTGTGTGTGTGTGTGTGTGTGTGTTTGAGTCTATGGCCTTAATTGTATTTGTACATGTATTGTAAGTGCCAAAATGGGTGCGTTCTTTATCTTTAAATAAAAAACGAAAATTGTTTCATCTAACTTTTTTTTTTTTTTTTTTTTTTAATAGCGCTTGTAGTAACAAATAATTAAATCATTTAAAAGCAGTTATATTTTGATAAAGCACATAATTAACACAAAGAATTCGCATGCATTTTTGGGAAGTCTCTCCAGATTTACAAATCTTGAGGATTTCACATGGTAATGTCATTTCTTTCCATTTGTTGGTTCTATTTACACTTTGGTTTTCAAACTGTCAGTTTGGTTTCCTAATTCCTGTTTTATGTGAATCTCATGTTTTCACTTCAATGTAAAGGATTCAGAAGCAACGCCATATTACATATTACGCAGATGCCAAATATAGAATTTAGTTCATATTCAAAACTGTGACGAAGCTTTTTTAATAGACAGTAATCAAAACCATAAACACTTAACATCGACGGCAAAAGCCTTTGTATTTAGTTTTTTTCCCCCCATAGAGAACATTGAAGATTATGAGCCAAAATATGCCAAACATTCATGAAAAATAGCAGAAACTAGGCATACGACCGCAACATTTAAGATGTGCTGCGGAAATGCCCATGCTACATAATCGACGAGTTACGTAATGACTAGTATGTATCTGCAATTGAATATCACGGCACATAGTCGTCTTCTTAGCGTTCTGCCAAATAACTGCAAGCTACTGGCTTTATTCTACCACTTTTGCGGTGTCGGCATGGGAGTCTTGGATCCTGAGGATTGTGAATATAAATAATATATTTAAAAATATAATAATATATGTGATAATTATACTACGAAATCTGTAAACAAATACTCAAGCAAAAGAATGTCTAAAAATACTCTGGTGGACAACTTAATCCGCTAAACTGATATTCTAGTATGGAGGATGTCTCAGCCACCCCCTACCTCTCCCCCCCCCCCCAAACCCCCACTCCCAGGTTGGGGACTGGTTCACCCTAACCTTCACTAATAACACTTTCTTTGCAGAGGTAACAGGCGGCGAAAACGGGACTTCGTAGTGCACCGCAATAGTATCGTTCCCATTGAAAAAAATATATATCTTTCTGGCAGCAACCTTGTTATCACTTCTCTTTTATGGGAACCTAATTGACAATAATATATGTCCCAAAATATTTACAATATCTTGTTCAAAAATGTATTTTCCCCAATCTTCATACATGGAGATAGACTGAATCTCTTAAGTGGCGGAATGTTATTTGAAAAAAAAAATATATATATATATTAATATATTATATCTTGTAGTCTAATATTAATTTAGGATTCAATATTTCTTCGTTACAAGATCCAACATGCAAGGCTACGAGTAACTGGTTCGGAACAAAGTGTCGGTTCAAATGCCACTGTGTTAACAACACTGCATGTGACAACAACGGTGTATGTTCGTCAGGGTGTGAATACGGATGGTTCGGTCCATCTTGTCAGTACGGTAAGTGTTGTTTAATTTATTGTCATTTTAGTGTTAAACTTTCGTTACTAGATAAGAGTAGAAACTGCCTGCTCATTTGAAAATCTCGCTTTCACGTTTTATTATCAATGCACGTAGCCAGCTTACTTATAAACGGAGACACTGTTGAACTGTTCTTATAGGTGATGTCATTGAAGAATAATTGGTATTAGTTGGTAATATTTACTCCAACTCTGTGCTACCAGTGCCAGACATGGTCACTCACAACAAACCATAAAAGAAAATTAGTAACCATGGAAATGAGATGTCTGAGAAGGGCTGTAGGAGTGACCATAAGAGATAAGATCAGGAATGAGATCATAAGAGAAAAACTCGGCACAGAACCAATTCTAAATTACATACAAAGACAGCAAGTGAAATGGTTTGCCCACTTAGAGAGAACGACTTGTGACACCATACCATACAAAGCATACATGGAAAGAAAAGAAGGACGTAGAGCAAGAGGTAGACCAAGAACAACATGGAAGGATAACATCAGAGAAGCTCACTAAAAAAGGACACAAATGGAGACAATAAATGATACTCATATGTGTCCCTGGCGAAAAACTTCGTTTAAGAGGATGAAGAGGACATGTACCAGCCTATATATCGCCAACGCGCTGACAGAAAGCGAAAAACTTGGTCAATATACATAGGAGATTAGCGGAGTAGACGCAAACAGACACACCAGCGTACACTAAATGTCTAAAAGGGGAGGGAGGGGTTGGCCATTATAGCCTAACCAGGGTTGTGTGGTTGGGATGACGTACTAGTCTATATATCGCCAACGTGCTGACAGAAAGCGAAAAACGGGGTCTGTATACATGGGAAATTGGCGGAGTAGACGCAAACAGACACACCAGGGTACACTAAATGTCTAAAGGGGAAAGGAGTGGTTGGCCACTGTGGGGTAACCAGGGTTGGGTGGTGGGGATGACATCCGTTTAGAAAAAAAGTGGTGCATGTGCTAGCGAATAAATACCAACAGACAGATAGGCAGGCTGGCAGACAGGCATACTGATAGATAGATAGATAGATAGATAGATAGATAGATAGATAGATAGATAGATAGATAGATAGATAGATAGATAGATAGATAGATAGATAGATAGATAGATAGATAGATAGATAGATAGATAGATAGATAGATAGATAGATAGATAGATAGATAGATAGATAGATAGATAGATAGATAGATAGATAGATAGATAGATAGATAGATAGATAGATAGATAGATAGATAGATAGATAGATAGATAGATAGATTAGATAGATAGATAGATTAGATAGATAGATAGATAGATAGATAGATAGATAGATAGATAGATAGATAGATAGATAGATAGATAGATAGATAGATAGATAGATAGATAGATAGATAGATAGATAGATAGATAGATAGATAGATAGATAGATAGATAGATAGATAGATAGATAGATAGATAGATAGATAGATAGATAGATAGATAGATAGATAGATAGATAGATAGATAGATAGATAGATAGATAGATAGATAGATAGATAGATAGATAGATAGATAGATAGATAGATAGATAGATAGATAGATAGATAGATAGATAGATAGATAGATAGATAGATAGATAGATAGATTAGATAGATAGATTAGATAGATTGATCGTGGATGGTTTGGTGAATGGATGAGTGGGTGGTGGGATAGATCGGCGGGTAGACAAATAGACGGAATGATGGATGGCTATACTCGTGGATGGATGGAAAGTATAATGAATGGATGGATCAGCTATATGTGTGCTAATATATGAAATTAGGGGTAAAAACTGGGGTCTCGTGACACGATGCTTCTCTCTTACTGAGCTATGAAATAGAAACAGTTAGGGTGATTTTTATACAAATTATCACTCGAACCGAGCCCGGAACTGATAAACACCAGAATGTAAGGGAGCAATGGAAAAATAACATGGGTGGATGGTGGGGTGAGTGGGCGAGATAGATGGGTTGGTAGATGAATGGGTGGCATAAAGGATGGCTATATTAGTGAATATATGGAATTGTAGATAGATGTGTGGATCTGCGTGTGCTAGTGTATTGGGATGAGAAGGTATCACAACCGTTTCCTAAAAGCTCAGACTTTAACGGCTTTAATGTATACGACACACACACTCAGAGGAGACAGGATAGTAGAGTATCTGAATACGTCGTTTAGGCTGAATTACTGATTGATAGACCATATAGGGGTGAGTCAGTTAGTTAGTCGGGTTATCACCATTGCACTCCGGACAGACAGACAGGGGTGAGTCGCTGTGGCGACATTGGCTGTTTATGATTTATCAGACAACTTTACGCTCAGTAGTTTGTCATTGCTTTCTAAATTATCGACGTCTATACTTTTATCAGACAAGCAGTGTACGAGTGAGAGAGGTACTGGGGTGAAATTATGTGAAAATTCCTGCAAGGAAGAGACAGGTATGAGAAGGAAAAACACAAATAGGAAATTAATTTAGACTGTTAAAAGTTGAGTGTCTGAGAAGATACATGTCAGATTAATGCAAAGGCAATGATAATCCTGAAATCCTTGGCCTCTGTTGTGAAAGACTTTTGCTAACGCTGGCTGGTCGTATTACTCACAAATATATATGCTCAGGAAGATAGAGAAGGGCTGGGTCCGAAGGCAGTGGTTGGTGGCTCTACATAATTCACGGCTGACAAGAATTAGTTTCATTTTCGTGCCAGGATATGTAGGGGTACAAGGAAACGAGCAACCTGATAGGCTTGCATGGAAGGCTACTGTGAAAGCCGGACAAGTCTTGGACCAGGCTGATATACTTCATGCTCTAAGAGAGTTAAGGCGTTTGCATGAACCAACTGAGAACTGTGAATCGGCAACCATGGTCAGACTGCAAGAACAACATGTTAAACGGGGTTTTCTCAAACAAGAACATTACGAGGGTAGCCAAAGAAGAAGAATAAACCAAAACAGAACTGGTGTCGTTAGCCGATACACGCTGCGAGATTTAGTGAGGAGGGGATCCGAGCACTTATGTACTGAGTGGTTCGACGAGCAATGAGGATAATCTGTCGACTAACTAACTATTAGTTAAATAATTCACTCATCCCTAATTTTAAACTCCAATTATACTGCTATTGCTCGAACGTAGATTTTTTTTTTTTTTTTTTTTTGAGTGACGGATTGTTAGATTTGAATGAGTTAAAATAACACCTACTTGTTAACGTGAAAGTTAATAAGTGTGTGTAATCTTTCAATTACTTTGCCCTATTTTTAATGTATGTGCATTAATTGTTCCTCTTCTAGTGGATTTGGTGTCAACATATTCAAAATCGCCAACGCCATCTTGGGTTTATGACTCTCCAGACACGAGCTGTAGTCCAGACCAGGATACGGTTACAGTTTCCTTGAACAGCACATTCTATTTTACCTGGCTCAGATTGTATTTTAAGGAATCAGGTGGGGTAGAATCTCAGTACAGAAGTGTCAACGTTCATTACTAACAGAAGATGGTCTTACTACGCTGCAGATTGGTTACATGTTTATCTTTTAAAGTTTGGAGCCCCAGGTTTTCTTCTTCTCTTCTCGCAGTTACCTTATCCAAGTGTTTAGGGAGATGTAATGATCTTCCGGGTGCTACTTCCAATCTTTGTAATCGATCTTCTTTTCATTAAGGTTATTCTTGATGTCGTCTTTCCATCGTCTCTGTAATCTTTACCTTGCTCTGTATTCATTGAACGTGTAGTTCTTTAGCAGTGCTCTTTGTGGCATTGGGCGACGGGT